GCCCTTATAAATTTTACTTTGGATAATTGTTATAGATTATTTGACTATAACTACTTAATCTTTTTGTTTGAATTGGATAACTTTTAAACATGTCAATCTGGACCATGATTTTCTATTGGGCCAAGCCCATTTATTTTAGATTGTATGTATTAATGGTATAAGAAAAATGTGTGTTTAGCAGAGTTGATTATAACTATAAATTAATGTTAAACCCTGAACTTGCTACAAATTATTTATTGGGCCACACCTGCCCTAAGTCTAGTGGTGATTGTTAATCTTGATGTCACTTTGTTTGGACAGGTACATCTTTTAAGGAAAATGTTTATTTATAAAAATAAAGGGGGGGAGGTTTTCTTTTGTAAAAAAAATTATGATAAAAATTAGGTCAATTATAGATTGCATCCTTTGCCCTATCTCCCATCTGACCATCGTGCTAGTTGAAGAAACTATATTTTTCCTATAAGTAATGACAAAAACCTCACTTTCAAGAACGAGGAGGACACAACAGACATGAAGAACATAATGTGAGAAGACACAAAACTGGCGATAGTTATAGCAACCATAAAGCCTCCTCCTTAGATTTTCCTTGTTCCCTAAAGCCACCACATTGCAATGACAAAACCTCCTTGAACCTTCACAATGCACCTCACTTAATTGCTGTAGAGTTGCAAGCCTCCATTGAGCTCCTATTGCCATTGATGGCGTCGATTCAACTTTGCTTTTACTCAATTAACCTTTTGCATATCGTCAAAAAGCTCTAAATCTTCATTTCAATGCAATCTTCGCTTCAATGCGCTTGCAGCTGTAGCCATTAGGGGATAGTGAATAAATTAAATAGAATTGAAGAAAGGGAAAGAAAGATGTAGCCCATGTCATCACTCAGACTCACATGTAAGTTTTACAAATGAAATATGTCATTTGTGTTGGTCAAACATCAATTTTGATGGTTAATAGATGATACACTTAATGGTAGGGTAAAAAGGTCCTTTTTTAAAAAAATTATTAGGCAAAAAAACATCAAACAAAAGTTTAGGATATCCACCACCTTTAAAAAAACAATTTCAGGACAAATATGTCCTTTTACCTTATATAATATTCAACAATTTAGTTATTACATAAAAAATGTAATGAACAATCAACAAAGTCAGACGTTGATATTATGTGATTTATATGTCATTATGGAATGTGGAATATTTAACCCGAAGGAACGTCAATATGATATTGTCTAATTTAAAAGTTGAGCTTAATTAACCAACTAATTAACTAAGGGATCAATATTTGGTTTTCATTTCTCACGCACAATCCTGTGGGCCGATCTGACTCTTGCAAACGGTAATAAAATATTTCGATGAATTTTTTGTCACTTGTTGAGTATTGCATGCATAGTGTTGGTAATATACCAAAATTATGAGGTTCTTAAATATGTCCACAGTTCATACACCAAGCCCGGTGACAAATACAAGCGAAAGCCACCTCTCGTTGACATTTTCAATTTTATCGACTTACAATAAAAATAAAAAAAAAATTCATGCGAGAGCATTAACTATATGTGTGGACCTTTTAATGCATGCTCCGATAACATTCTTTGTTACTCCTTCGAGGTTACATTTTAGAAGATTTTTTTTTTTTTGTTTCAGAAAATATTCCTGATATGTTTGCAAATTTATAATTTTATTGTATTTTGATATTAGTCTCTGTACTTATTTTTCATTGCTCCAAAATCCCTTAAATTTCGTTTATTTATAATATTAGTCCTTATCATTATTGATAGAGTTAAATATGTTAATATGTACATAATTATTGTACTCAGTTGGACAATGTATGAGCAAAAATGACCATTAACTTTTCTATTTATGTTTGTCTTAATTGTTGTGTCTTTTTTCTGTTAAAATTTTATGTATTGTGCATTTAAAGATTCTACTTTAATGTTTTGCCTTTTTTTTTTGGCATTCTTCTACTTATTATTTATGCAATTTTTCATAATTTTAACAAGTCAATATAAGAAGTAACAAACTTCATGCATATATTAAGTCATTATATATGGTTATATTTAAGAATGATTAACATTGCATACAGATAATATTTAAGGGACTTGGGGCAATGAAAAAAATATAAGGACTATTACAAAAATAAGTTAAAAGTATAGAGACTAATAATTATATTTTTTTTCAGTAAATTATGCACTAACATTTGTGGAGTATGTGAATTAACTACTTCCTTCAATAAAAATATAAGACATTTTTTTAATGTTAAATTTTTAAAAATATGAGACATTTCTAGTTTTTTAATATATAATTAGTAAGTTTTTTTTAAAATATTCTTAATAAACAAATCACTCATCATTTCATCTTAAGTGAGACATCATATTAAATAAGAGTAAATATAAAAAATTAGTATCCATTTAAAGAAAATTAACTAATTTTATTAGAGGTATAATTAGATTAAAAATATTTTATATTTTTAAATGGAGAGAATATAATTATTAATGGTATACTTAGAAAGAAAAATGTTTTTAAGGCGTCAACTGTTTTCCTTGATGACTTGATCTATGTATGTTAGGAAAAAATTGTACAGGATATATGATAAATAGATATAGAAAAATTCTCCAAATAGCAATCAAGTCTTATAAAATATGATAATTTTTCTCAAGTGCTTCGAGATCTTTTAGACACTAATGTCTTTTGTAGAGCAAATTTAAGATAAAAAAGTAATGGATGAATGATTAAAAATTTATAGAGCGGAACTTATCATTTGCTATCTTGTTTAATTCATTGTAAAAAAAAGTAGTTATTATTTAAACTAATGCAGTTATTAATATCTACAACCTAGATTTTAGTGATTAAAAAATTTATAAAGAAAAAGTTTTAATTACTTATCTTGTTTTTAATCATTATTAAAATAAAAGTTTTTTTTAAATCAAAACAATTACTAATATTTACAATACTTAGACTTAATAATTAAAAATTTGCAGAAAAGAAGTTGTAATTACTTATTTCGTTTTAATTCATGTCAAAAGAAAATTAATCATTTTTTAAACTAAAATAATAATTGATATTTATAATACTTGCACTGCAATTATTAACAAATTTGCAAAGTAAAACATGTCATTTGCTATCTTGTTTTAGCCATTGTCAAAAGAAAAATAATGATTACTTAAATTAAAATAGTCAAATATATTTTAAAATGGGTCATTATAGTCATTTTACAAAAGAACTAAATGCCAAAAAAGTCTCAAAGGACTTAAAAAAAATTATTATATTTTTCAAGACTTTATTATCATTTACACATTTTAAGAAATTTTCCTGTATTTTCCCAAACAGAAATAGCAATAAAAAAACATATCTCTAGCTCCTAACTTGATGTCGCTAATGAGGCCGTGAGAACGTAAATCAGCATCTAAAGATTTCAGTATCAAGCCCATTAACGCATCAAGTTGGATGTTGTAGAGATACATAGGGCCCATCTATAGGTTTTTTATGGCCCATTGTTCACGAATCAAATTGACCCTATTTCACAATGGCGCGGCCCATTGAGTACTTTAGCAAGGAGTTTAACTTGCAAGTATATCTGACTCCACAATCTATTGTTTAAAAAATATATAATCCCAAGTTTAGCAAATCATGTGGGCTCCAAAAACATCTTCTGATTGATTGATTTCTATGTTTGTCATAATCATAGCAATAAGTCAATTTTCAATGTGCTGGGACCATTGGATTCAACAAGCAATGATATCCCAGCTGTAATAGAAGTAAGGTCTAACAATTTTACCTAAATATAATATACTTCTCAAAGTTTACTAACAACAGTTTGGTTGAGTTAACTAGCATGAGACTCAAATTGAGTTCATTTGAATAATTAAAAAAAAAATTATGGTGGGAAAGCTTAAGTTTTATTGCAGTCCAATCTGGCTGACTTTACAAAAATTATTCCCAATCTCCGTGCACATATATTAAAAACAAATCTTAACTATTGAGTTTAAATATATTTTTTTGCTGGAAGATATTTTCATTTAATATTATATCCTAGTTTGTCAAACTTATGAATTTAAATAAAGTTATAAAAGAAATGTAAACTTGAATTACAAGTTTATCTCTATTAATAAACAATCATTAAAAGTATAAAATTAAATAATTAAAATATAAAATATAATCATAATTTAATTTAAATATATTTTAAATATAAATTATTGAAATTAAATTCATCTATATTAATATATCACCATCCTCAATATGAAAACTTTAAAATAGGGCAACTTATTTTTGATATTTTTATTTTATTAATATTAATTTTTGCTTTTTGAGTTTTTATTTTTCTTTAAATCAAATTCTATTGTTTTTATGAATCGAGTTCTATATAATATATTTCTAACTCGATCAAACTGGTAACAAATTGACAAATTTACTAGCTTAACTGAGTTTGATTTCATAAATTAAAAACATAAAAATGATAAATTTAAAAATTCAATTCATAAATTTAACCAAGTTTGCATCTAATATGAATTTATGAACGAGTTAACATAATTTTATAAGTTAGAAATATAAAAATAATAAATTCAAATAATCAACTTGAGAGTTTTGACAACAGTAATTATAATTTAAAATTCTTTGTATATAATAGAGCCAGATCAAATTTAGTAGCTTTTATTTTATTTAAACAAATGTAAAAATTACCATGACAAGTGGGAGACTCATGAAGCCAAATCCTTGGAACTGATTATGGAAAATGAAACTAATGGAATATCCGTGTCAGAATTTTCTAGAATTTGTATTGTAAAATTTGAAAAGCCATTGGCATAATGAGTGAACATACATATTTTTACACAAAATAGAAATATACATGAAAATTTGGTTAGAGATTATCTTATCTAAATAGACTATATATTGAAAATTAATATGCGAACAAACTATATATGAATATTGATTTATTTACACACTAGATAGTTTATATGAACATGTAAATAAATAAATATATAAAGCATCAGTAAATATCTTGATCCCGTGTTCAAAATTAAAGTCAATTGGATTTCCATCATTCCATGATTCAATCTCCGTGCTTATATTTAAAGAACAAAAAAAGCTATATACTTATTTGTGTTACAAAGAAATAAAAAATATTAACCCTCTTAAATGAATCGTGCTTCATGGGCGGTGTACCTAGCTGACTATCAAAAATAAATAAATGGGATTGAATAGAGGCCTAATAATATTTTAATTAATTTGTTGCTTCCTTCACAATTACAAATCCGATGTCTTGAAAACTAATTCTTCCAGACCTGGATTTACATGCACTACCATATTTTCTCTTCTGCAAATTTCTTGTTTTCCATCATCACTTGCTCAGATATGCATATTACAGTCCGAGGAGCACATAATAGAGTATTGTGATGGGCAATGCAATCAGCATTCCAAATATAACCCTGCAAAATCATACAAAATTAATCCCTTAAATTCAATCGCTTTGATTGATGACATGAGATGTATAATTTTTTACATAAAAAATGAAAAAAATATATGTAGTAATAGTAGAAGTAGTAATAACAACAACAAAAATACTTACGCAGTGCTAAGAATATCAGGATGTAGATTGTATTCTTTAGCAAACACAAAGGGAACGATCCCCTGGGGAAGGGCAGCCTGAAAAATAATGAAGAATAATCAATCAGTGGTATTTTTGTTTAGCTAGCTACTTCCAAGTTCTGAATAGTAACACATATTTTAATTAAGGCAAGAGTTCATATTTGGTCCTAACAAAAAATGCCAACGTTGAAATAACAATGATTGACAAACAAAAATTATCATTTGAGACCAATGGTGTTAGAATTAAAAGATTAAAATGATACTTTATAAAATTAAGAGACCAAACTGAATTTGTATAAGATTAGAGGATTGAATGTGCACTTTTACCTCTAATTAATTAATGATAAGAGAACCGTAAGACTGCTAGTTATTATTATTATTTTTTGTACTTTTGAAATATATATATATATATATATATATATATCTGCACCTGAACAATGGCGACGTGGAGAAGAACACCGCGAACACCAATGGCTATGGATGTGGCGGCAATCACTGCAGGGCCAGTCAAGAACCTAACAACCATAGAAAATGCAGCCACAGACTTTCCACAGGCTATGATCCTGGGTTGCAATGCCATGAACAGACCTGTTTAATTGATTCAATCATACGCCGATATTAATTAATTTTAACCTGTTGAGGGTATATCTATTTCTTGCAAGTTTCAGGAGAGAGGGAAGTTGATGAGTAATTAAAATACCTAGACTGAACATGGCCATTCCCAGACCTGCATCAGATAGAATTGAAATGGAACCTTTTATAATAGTTGGCATTTGGATGTTCCATCTGTACACAAAGCAAAGTGACCATACAGCAAGAGTTAATATACTGAGGGGAGAGAGAGAGAGACACACACACACACATCAAGGTTGACAGATCTAAGTCTAAACATTTTTCACTCATTAATTTATTTCTCTATAATATGTCCAATCCCATGTAGAACTCATAGCCTAATCTAATACTACAAAGGAATCGTAATACCATAGGTTGGCAAGATGTAACTGGAGAGAGATAGCGTGGTGTCACCTATTTGTTAGATGAAATCTAATACTATGGTATGGGAATAATATTGAAAATTAGGTCGATCTAGATCTAGTTGATTGAATCGATAAATGGTTGAACTAATACATTGACTAGTTGAATGAAATTTTTTGTTCATGTCTGATCGATCATATTTAACTGTATGGTTTCAACTATTAGTTAACTCTTAAACCAGTATCTGTACCGATTTAATTTGGTTTTCAGTGTCTTTGACTTACATTGTCTATCTTCATGTAGTATCATGGATCATGGAACAGTTTAGAACATGCCTGAAGGAAATGAGGGACCAAGCGACGCCAAAGAGACTGGAGTAGGTATTAGGATTCCTGATGAGCTTCCTCCAAACCATGATGAGGATGAGCCTCGTCATCACACTTGCCGGCGGCATCTGTTGATTCTTGTTCATCCCTTCCTCTTCTTCCATCTCCACCTTCTTCTGGCAACTGTACGCTGCCGACTTTGTCGTTCCTTCCTCTATCTCTCCCTCCCTCTCTCCGCTTCCTCCTCCTTTCCTTCCACTCTCTATCAGTTCCTGCATAGCTGCACGTACGCATCATAACATCCATCAATCCTTCATTTCCTTACCACAAACACAACTTATTTCTATATCTGTTACCTTTCGACGCTGCAGTTTCGTGCGGCACAGCCTTGGAGGGATCCACCGTCGCAAATTCAGTAGAGGCTGCAGCTTTATTAACTGCATGTCTTAGATTTCCTTCTGACACAGGGGATGCGCTGGAGCTCCAAACAAACATGTGTAGCTCCTTGTTTGGTGCTCCACCGCCGGTGCCGGGGCAGATGCTGACGGTGGTTCCGCTGTCTTTCTTCTTCAGGCCGGCAGCTGTACTGGTACTGGACCCTGCGAACATAGGGTTCGGAGGAGGGTATGAAGAAACCAATCCACCATTGAAGAGCTCACCGCTCATGCTCCTCCCTCCTCTTTTCTTCTGCATCTTCAGCATCTCCTCGTCGAAGTTCGACGTCCTCGGCGTGGGTCCCTTGGACGACTGCAACGAGTAAACATCGCCATAACCAGTGCTCTGAAAACTGTTGGTGTAGCCGTGTTTGGGACTTGGAGCTTTACTCGCATTAAACATAGCGTAAAAATCTGTCTGGTTAAAGCTTGACGCTCTGGGAGTGGGCTCTCGGGAAGACTGAACCGAGTAGATCTCAACCCCAGTAAGATTAGACGCTCTAGGAGTCATCAGGTTCGACTTATTAAACGAAGAGATCATGGAAGAAGCAGCCGATCTCCTAACCACCACATGAAGCTTCCCATCGTCCCCTATCTCAGCATCGGCTTGAAGCGGTTCTCTGCCGTTGAGAGAAACTACGTCGGAGTCGACTCTAAAGGAAGTGATAGAACCAGCAGTCTCAGGGAACTGCTCGGATATCAAAAGCTTAGCTCCTCTGTATTCAAACATGAACAACATGAGAGTGTACCAAATAACGCTCTGAAGAACGACGATTTGAACCATGAGGCTGCCTGAGAATTCTCCATACATGGCCTTGAGGAGAGGGATCCCCATGACAAGTGTGTTTGGGAGAGTAGATAGCGAGAAGAGAGTGATGCTCCAGTCAAGGTTTCCCTGTTTGGTGAAGACATTCCAGAGAAAAAGAGCGCCTAAGATGACTACTTTCTGGAGAGAGTCTGCGGCAATGAAACGGTAGTTCATAGCGTAAGGGTCGTTGGAGGAGATGAAATGGAAAGAGAGGAGAGGGACTGCGAAAACGGCGACGAATCGGTTGATGCCGGAGCATTGGTCCGGCGTGAAGATTTTCCACCACCGAACGGAGCCGTAAGCTAAGATCATAGCCACGTAGAGAGGCACTATGGCTGCGAAAACATCGTAGATATCCTTACCGGTAATCATGGTTACGTTGCTTATAGCGGAAAGAAAGAGATAAAGTGGGGAAGATAACAACACAAAAGAGACAAGAGTTTGTGAAAAGTTGGAGCTTAAACTGGAAAAAATGTAAACATGACTACTGAAAACAGAAGGGAGAGGGACTAAAGAGATCAAAATTTCGGTTGGCCTTGTTCTCTTATAGACGTGTTGATCTGCTAATTATTTTCAGATTAAATAAATATGAGGGTATAACTTTAGCTGGGTTTTCAGTTTTATAAAGGAATGAAGTGAATAAGGTTTATTTTCAAAAAGAATAAAGCTTTATCTATTTTTATATTTTTAATGATAGAACAACAATTAAAGATCTTTTCAACAAATAGAAAATTAATGTAAATCATGTGGTTTGAGTTGTAAATTTATAAAATTTCATTTGTATTGGTCCTTGATATTTTTTAAAAGATGTTACAAAATTATATAATAGAATGCTTAATTATATAACTCTTAATTAAGCAACATGTATGAAACATATTTGATTTCAAAAATAAAATTACACAAAGTTTCATCAATTAATTGTGTGATTTAGTATAATGCTGTATTTTTAGCACGAAAATTTTTTATTTTGAAGGTCATCTAAATATTGTATTATGTTAGATTAATTAATTAGCCTCAGTTTGAGTCATAGAGGATTATATTGATCTAAGAGAAACAAAAAATCAAGAAGCTCGCATACAATATAATAATTAGGAGGATTTGGATTTAAAAATGCAGTCTCTTAGAAAAATTAAAAAGTACAACTTTCTTAAAAAATTAGAAGAGACAATCAAGTGGGTTAAATATGAACAGAGTTGGGTTATAATTTCCATGAATGAATACATAAACACTTGAATATTACTATAATCCAGCTCGTCGCCACTGGAAACGTTCATGCACATGTAAAAGATAGCCAGTATGGAGTGATCCGCGGTACCAGAAAAGATCTCTTTCTCTGGGTTCCATTATTTTAAGTATATATTCTTGTGTTGAGTTGAGACACGAATTAACTCTCCTTTTTCTCTCTTTCTCTGGATTCAGTATATATGAGTTTCACCAACTTTGATGTCGACCTTCATGTTAACAGAAACTGTTCCAAAACTCCATTTTTTTTATGGAGGCAATGTCTGAAGATACCAGGAAATGGGACAACCTTCATGTGCATCCCTGCCAATCCCAATCTTAGCTTCAGAATTGGCAATAAAAAAAAGACAAGACACCCTTTTGGACTTGCACGTGATCAGAGGGCAAAACTTAATAACTAGCTCCTTTACTTAATTACACCAGATTAAATAAAATAATTACGTGTATGTTTAGTTTCTTGAATAATGATTCAATTTACGTAGGATTTTCATGTCTTTTGTTGTTTGATTTCCAGTCAGAATCTAATCAGTAGAGAATAATTTTGCGATAACGTCTCTTAATTGATTGATTTTTCAAAAGCATACAGGTTCATGCTGGGGGCAATGGATCTTCTTAAGAAAATCATAAGGAACCTTGACTAAGCACATGTGCTGTTTCCGATCTGATCTAATTAGTTTGATCCAAGGAAGGGTTTTTCTTGTCATGATTTGTAAACAAAACGATATGATCTATCATTAATTTTATATATCAATAGATATATCTTCTCGGGATTATGGATTTAATTAGCTTGTTCAATTGACATATCTAAATAAGCTTGCTTGTTATCATTTCCAAGAAACTTTATTGATTTGGTCAACCAGAACGGAATGGTTTGAGTCTATACATATGAACCCAACAAAGTGTTTCGTGAGTTGTCTATTTTGAAATCATCCATTAAATTAATTAACCGTATAATGGGCTTTCATTCATCTGTATCTTAAATAAGAAGATATTATAAAAGTTATTTGCACTTTCGTCATATATAATATGGAATTTGATATGGATTGGGGTTACTACAGAAAGTACACTAATTTGGTTTGGTAGTGCTAAATGATTAGTACTATTGCTAAACCCAAAGCGCCACTAATATACAGTATTTGACGTCCTTTGAGTTTAGCATTGTGTGCTCTCATAATTTGGTTTAGTAGTGCTAAAGGGTTATATTATTCAAGTTAACATCTTAGTTAAATTCTTAATAACGTTATTAAATATATTTATATTGAACATATAACTCAATTTCATGAATCTATTATATATACAGCATCAGTCTTAAAATGAACAATAAGATGAAATGTATTATTTTTTTAAATGCAAATTAAAATTAGAAATTTATAATTTCTAAAATAATTAAAAAAATTGTGAATATAATTCTACTCCTAAGTTCTCTATAATTTATAAATGCAGCATCACTTCATTATTTTCTGTATTCATTTTTATCTTTACATCCTCATTAAATGTTAAAAAAATATTAAAAATAATTATTTTTGTTCTCATTATGGTAGAGGTGAAAAGTTATTAAATTTTAAAATAGAATTAATAAAATTTAAGATTTTATTTAATTATGATAAAACATGTTGAAAATGATTCAAATAGAATACAAAAAATATATATTTAAATAAAAACAAAAATTGTTCATAATTTTATTCAGAACGGTAAATGCTGGCCTGCAAGACGCAACTTGACAAAGCAGGCATAAAATTCAGGGAAGAAAATTAAGTGTGACATGAGTGAGAGTCTCATATTTAAGAATAAGCCAATCCTTGAAACTAGGAAACTGAAACTTGGCAGCCCCTATGTAGCAATTGGGCAACGTTAGGCCAAAACAAACTTGGAATTTTCACTCCAAAATGAGCCCTTTTTTAATCATAGAAAATCACGTGAATGAAGATTGTAGCCTCAGTTTTTCACATAAGATCCTAGCAAACAAACCTGCAAGGCCACAAGTCTTCTGAAAAATCCAGCTTCGCTGGGAACCAAAGCTACCCAACCTAATGTTGGGTATAATAGTATATATAATTGCCTATAATTTGAGACTTAAAGCATTCAAATATATTGTCCCATGCGAACAAAACATACTGAAATTTTATATACACTGTCGCCTCATGTCGAATCTCTTATTGACTTTGCTATTAGAAATTTAGACACATCACAGCACTGATATACCCCAATATGCCTTGATACTTCTATGACTGCCGAAACAAGAAAACTAGGATTTTCTGGCGTCATCTTTGAATTAGCATGTTAGGAATAGTAAGTTGTTGGGAATTGAAAAAAAATCCAATCAAGTAAATACTGCTAATGAACTTAGAAGGTAAAAAAGTAAACAAGAGTACTTCGGTTCCAAGTATTGAATTATACGTTGAGCATCTGAAACATGGTTTGTGTGTTATTGGAGGATGAAATTTTATGATAGAAAATCGTGAAGGGCTCTTTGTGGCTTAGCTTGAACAGAGCTCACTCCAGAAACTGCTTTATTAATTCAATTCTTGTTGGCTACAATCATCTCAATCCCAAAGGTACAATCATTCTGATGCAATGAAGTCAGCCATCCATTTTCAAATGATATATTAGCTGATTGATTAATGGGTGCGTTTCACTCCCTTATTGTAGTTTCAACTCACAAAGCCACAGAGCCAGTCTTGTCCTCAATTATACATGAGCCCAAATACCTTGAGGCAGTATCTAATGCTTTTTCAATTAATTTTACCCATGGGTTTGTGAATGAGCGCTTCTTCTGTATTTGACGATGCTGCCACTATTTGTTTAGGAGGTTCTGCCAAAACTTTCTTGAAAAAAATTTTGAATGATTGTCTGATAAAATTGTGGCAGGGAAAACATGAAGCAGTTTTTACCATCGTTTCACAGTGGAGTTGGACCACCATCGATTCATTGAAGTTGGTAAGGAACCAAAATGCCTATATTTATTCATTCTGCCCGCTGCCACTAAGTTAGCAATTTTCAGCAAAAATGCAGTAAAAATATTCAGCAACTCTTGTATGTTTTGGCATGCATTATGTTTGATGTACACTAATTAGATTGATTGGCTGTAACTATATACGAAAGTTGATATAATTCAGTTAATTAGTTGAGTTCAATAACAGAAGTAGTGTAGCTCCCAGAAGTGTGATCGATGAAGAGCTATTATAGTGTAGAGCTTGCTGTAAGTAGTGATGAGTGATGAAAGAATGTTAATTAGGCAATTTTAGGAGCAAAAGCTTGTGGCATTGCTGGCTTTGCTTGAGGAAAATTCAATGGCTTTGTTACATTCCTGATTGGTTAATGTAAAGTTGCAGAGCCATTTGTGAGGTCATAATGACCAAGAGGAAGAGGGGAGGGGTTCTGAAAGAGGTCTTGTGAATATCACGACAGCCTTTAGTCATGTTCAGTTTATGTATCATATATTTCTTAAGTTGATAGCTACAACACTCATCAGATTTTGATTCTTCATTTTCAAATAACAGAGACACAACATCTTTGCTTTCCAAGTAAGAAAATCAAATGATCTATTTTCAGGCTAATTCATACATATAAGAAACCAGTTCAGGGTGGGATTTATTATGGTCCGGCCTATAAGAGAAAGAGAAAAAAATTAATTTTGATTATATTTATATAGGCACTTCATCATTTTCTATATTTATCCTTATCTTTCTATCTTTATTAAATGTTGAATTTTTTTTTGTTATTATTAAGGGGTAGAGGTTGAAACTAATTAAATCTTAAACTTGAGTTAATGATATTTAAGGTTTTTCATAATTTCAATAAAAAATACTAAAAGTGACTTATAAATAAAATAAAATATAATGTAGTATAATTTTTATTTGATTTATCAATTTCAAGATAAAAGGCAAAACACATCTTTGAGGAAAATTTTATAATCTAGTTCTCAAATGAACCTAACAATTCACACAAGTTAGATTTCATCCCAACTTGAATGTCGGGCCCGATGTACATATCTATGTAGGGCTGCACAAAGGATTGGATGGCATTGAATTTTAGCTTAACCCGAAATCTAGTCTCTTTCATAAAAAGGACTAGGTAAGCAACTCGTAGTCGAGTTTTGTCCAGTGATAACTTGAAAATTAACAGAACAGGACTTGGTCCATAGAATTGAAAGACTGGTCTTGTTAATCCAGTACTTACTTAGCCTTTTTTTTCTTTTTTTCTCTATGAGAAGGAATAATTCATTTCAACTTAATAAACTCAATTAAGATAATAAAAACACTTATAATAA